CCCTCTTCCTTCCTGTCTGACCACATTTTCACGCTTTCGGGATAACCTGAAACTCATGGGAATAATAAATTTGTTCAATAAATCATGTTCCGTGCAATATGACCCCATCACAGATAAGTCGCTGTACTTAATCTTATTATCAGTGTTTTTCTGTTAAGCAGTCGGGCGAGCAGTGAACGATAAGACCTCCAGAAATTCTTCCCATCTCCCATACTATCTATAGGTAAGATCAGAAAATGATGTACCAGTAATCGAAGGGAACGATTGGAAAGAGATCACAGCGGTAACAATCATGCGCTGTGTGTGGTCATGTCAGTCTTGATCAACTTCGGCCTCAATTTGATGGGGTAAACCCGCTACAGGGGACAACCCACTAGGTACCCAACTACAAGTTGGAGGAAAACCTCTATTCCGAATTTATGTCTCAGCATCACAGAAAAAAGGACATTGATGGGGGTTACAAAGGTCGATTATGCATATTCCCTACTTGCACGGAAATGGAGGAGAACTGATGAATGCTCCAGAAGTTCTTCCCATCCCCATACTTATCTATAGGCAGGGTCAGAAAATGATATAGCACTGATCGAAGAGACCGATGGGTATGAGATCATAGCGGTTACACCGTGGGTTGTGTATGTTCATGGCAGCCTTGACCAACTTCGACTTCAATTTGATGGGGGTGCGCTCAGTACGGCCAACAATCCACTAAACATCCCAAGGGCTGAAGAAAAAGCCTTGTTTCAAAGTCATGTCTCAGTCTCATAAAAAGGGTCAAAAAAGAAAAGGGTCAATTATTATGATTACATGGTCGAACTTCCTTATGCATACTTCCTATTCGCATGAAAATCAGGAACAAGGATGAGACCTTCAGAATTCTTCCCATACTCTTCTCTTGTCCATGGGTGGGCTCATAAAGTAATGAACTAATAATCGAAAGGAACGATTGGAACGAGATCATAGTGGTAACGACCACTGGTTGGGTGCGATCATAGCAGCCTTGACCAAGTTCGACCTCAATTTGATGGGGTGAGCCCAGTAACGGCAAAAATCTGCCTGGTACCCCATGAGTCGAAGAAAAAAAAGGAAAAGAAAGGATGAGGATTATAAGGACGGATTACTTGGCACATATTCCTATTTTTTCTTTTCTGTTGTTCCTTAACGAAGACGAAGTAAAATGACTTGGCTCATTCTAAGGTACAACTGAGAATATAGGAAGCGATTTTTTTCCAAGAAGAAAAAGAGAGTCCGCTCACTGGAACTAGCGGTCTATCAAAACTCATTCACCACATGTTTCAGACTAGTAATATACAAGTTTGAAGAATAAATTGGACAACTACTATTCAGGGTAAATGAGTACAAAGCTTTCAAAAACATGGACGTCAAATCATGAGATTGGTCCCCTGATCAGTTCCGTTGATTAGAATGAAAAGATACTGTTCAGCTAACGACGAGACGGAACCACGAAAAGGGATCGGATGACATCAAGGAGCGGAGCAAAATGGCATAGTGGCAGAGAGGTGTGGGGACTCTTTATGGTAACACGATGACCGGGGTCATGTCTTTGACCTAACTTCTACTGCTTAGCGAGTGTACATTAGTGGGAAGCGGTCGACAGATCAAAGTCACCACTTGGTTTCTTTTTTCCTTAANCTCATTTCAGGGAAAGTTTCATCAACTGGTTGTGTCCAGAATGGATTATGAGTGAAGTGGCCTCTCTATTGCGTGACCCGTCTTGCGATCTTTCTACAGCAGTATTGATAACATTCATAGATAATGAGTACTTGATTCTCAGTGGGTCAACAAGTATGACTGGTTGAGCACTAAGTAAACGGATGGTTGGCTGGCTGTAATGAGGAAAAGAAAGTCGTGTGTCTGGGAGAGATCGTGTGCCGATCATGTGAAAAAAATTCTGGGAGGGAGGGATGGCAAAATTTTTTTTGTGTGTTTGCCAAGTACTAGAGAAGAGAATATTGTTGTGGACTGGTCTATTGAACCTTGAAACTGTACTTTAGCGAGATGGCTAGACGTGATGAACACAAACAACAAGTACACTTTATTCTCGACTCATTTATTATTTGTTTAGTCAGGCAACAAACAACAAACAATGAGTGCAATGTATTTTCCACTTCACTGTTCGTACTATGGTGATAGAATTATTGCCAAGATGACCTTCCTATTGAGTTCGAGGTTGATCAGAAGGTGAACTAGAACCCGGGAACCTATTTTGATGGAGCATTGATGAGGAAATTGCCAATACCTACAATAACTTCTTCCTACACGAGACCTTTCCTTTTTAACGATAAACTTATAAACTTTACTAAACTATAAACTTTAAACTAAACTTCTAATCAAGTTACTACTTTATTATAGTTATTATAGACTTGTAGAGCTTAGAACTTCATGTTTAACTGAATACTCGAACACATCACTTTACTAAAAGAAAACGTTCGGCGGGTTCAACGAACGAAACGACCGAGTTGATCGACGTCACCCAGATTTGCTGGTAGGTTCACGTCGGCGAACGTTCGTGTCGGTGACCTTACTTTACTGGAGGGAATCAAAGGGCTTCACCCGCCTGTCGGGGTCGAAGTAGGTATGTGACTATGCCAAAGCATAAGTTTAGCTTAGACTATAATATAAGGCTGAGTTTTTGAGAAGGGCATCTTTCCAAAGGGCGCTGTGGAAGCAGTCCACTGAATTTGCAATTTTTTGCACCATAGGAAAGTGTGACCGAAAAACTTCAAAGGTTTAGTCAATAGGTTTGTAAAAATAAGTGGAAAGTTTACACGGAGAATGAAAAGCGACTTCAAAATAGCCAAATTGAAGAACGATGTGACCAGGAGACCGAAGATGTGGCGGAGATAACCTCACAACTCGATTTAATTTGCAAGAGATCCCCAATAGTCCAAATCATGGACTTCCAAACATAACAATCAAGTTCATACCTTCTTGTTGCTCGTTTAAGGATTGTACCCGAGCAAGTTCGCAGTATTTTGTGAAAAAATGGAGCAGCCAATTTCTGAATACCAAACCTTTTCCTTTTTCGGGAGAAACCACTTTTCAATCTGAATCTGTCCAGGATAGATCCGTAAGAAAGTTCCAATCCGTTTTCCAGGCTTTCTAGTTGAAGGATAATCTCAGAATTGTTACTTTCCATCTATGCCGTCCAATATTACCTTATTGCTGAGTTGAGTGAGTTCTCGTTTAGACTACATTCTATGTTTGGCACTTCCCTTTATTTACTTTTTATGCATTTAATCAATTAATCAACTGTTTATTTATTGACTATGTTGAGTGCAGATATCCAGTCGATATACGAGTCAGTGCATTTCCCTCTGAGACGAGTCTGATACCAATGATGGACCACAAGCAGATGAAGGCTTGGTTGGTCTGAGTTAGCATATACTCATGATCCCTAGACCTTGCCTATGTGATAGTGTGCCACTTGGCACTACTCTATCTCCGCATATTTAAATAAAATAAATGATCAGGAGAAAGAGAATTGTCGTCATAGAGATATTTTGGAAAAATGAATTGAATTCAGTGACGGAAATAGGGAGAGGGTGGTGAAGAGACAATCCACTGGCACACTGTCACGCACGCATGGTAATAGGTTCGATTCCCGTGTGAATATCTGCCCACCTCAAGCAAGCCTTTCATGCCTTCGTTACTGCCTTTGGTACTTGACTCGTCTGGGAGGAACACTGACTTGTACATCGGCCGGCCACCCCAAGTTATTGTATAGAGCACGTACGCATCCAATCCTCCATTATACGATTCCGAATGGAAGTCGAATGCGTGGCACATCTCTGAGACGGGACTGATTAACGCCCAAAGACTTTGTCGTTTATCAGGATACGAGCGGATAAACAGTAAATAATGGCTTTCGAGTAAAGTTTTTTTCTCATGAGGTCGATAGAGTGACAATGTATTGTAACAGTGCGTCATCATTGTGTTTACTGAGTAGAGTGCATCGGGTATCATACGAAAAACAACCACTTGAACCAAAAACCATCCAAGTACCCTCTCATCACTGGGGATCAATCCACCATCGATCCGATAAGTTCTGGGGAGCGCTGAAAGCACAGTGCTTAAGTTTCTTTTGGTATGAAGGTATGAAACGTAGTACGGAACTAGAAAAGCTGATTTACAAGACTTTCATTACTTCGGACGAGTTCTTTCATAGATCACAAAGAGGCTACCTGCCTATATCCCATCCGTTTATGAATATATGCACGTTTGTTCCCTTTTTTCAACCTCTTCATCAGCCCATCTTCAGGATGGTAGGGTGGGATGGTGGAAACTGTCAATATGACAGTAGAGAACAACAGGCTGACAGAGCAATGAACATATCACACTCGTGCAATCAAAAAGCGAAAACACGAGAGCAATTGATATGAAAGGTGTGAAAGGATGGAAATTCCATTGTCCGTTTCAGCAAAGATTAGTTTAAAAAAATGTAACCCCCTTCCTGATCCGGACCGTACCGTACCGTAGCGGCGTTTGATCTTGCTGCTGCTTCGTGGTATCAGGGGGCGGTCTGTTCTTTTTTTTCGGATTTGTTTGCAATTCCAAATAGTTCAGAATTAGAGATGGAATGAATCAGTATCTCAAGGCCATATTAACTCATTCAAGGGTAGTTTTTGAGGTTCACTGGACTTCCTATCGCTCAGGACTGATTTTAATTTTTTATCGTTCCATCTCAGGCAGGATGTGGGCCGAACATCATGGCGGTCAGGCCCAGACCTGCCCTGAGAATGTTTCTACAATTGCACGAACAGGTATTAGCCGTTAGGAATCCAGACTTGGTTAGCACAGCATTGGGAATAATATCTTAGAAATAGGGAAAAGATGGCCACCGAATAGCATGGACTGCAGGTAAGGCGGAAAGTGATTCTGCTCCCCACGTGCTGAAGAGTTGTTTTCCTTTGTAGCCTTCCAACTCGCACTTTCACGTGAAGGAAGGGAGAAGAGAAAACGGGACAGAAGGGAAATATTTGCTAAATGTAGGCACGCCCGTTGAGCCGACACCACAGCGAAAACGCAGCCAACTAGTTGGTGAACAGGGCAGTTAAGTAGGCGAGGTCACTACGCCGCTCATATTCAGGAACTATCCAGTGTTATCGTGAAAGTAAAATGTCAGAAAAACGTTTTACTTCCACGATAACGTTTTGGGAAGCGCAAAGACGAAGTTTTTCTTTGTAAAAGTTTTACAAGTTTTTTTTCTTAATTTTATTTCTACTGAGAGCACCTTGAGTGCGAATAAACAAAAAATGCAGGCTTTCTTCCTTATTTATCTGCTTAAAGTACACCAAAAAGGCTACAGTCCCAATCGTTTGCCTAGAAGAGTACCTGACACGCGTCATTTAAACTAAGAAAGATTTATAACAGAGATGAAATGGTCAGAGGAACGGCTGGTAGAGACGTCACGATACCAACCTGTACCAGGTGTTACTGTAAAAAAAGAAGTAGTTCGAAGAAAACTGAGGCTGTGGTCCAGAACTACATCAAAACAAAACTTTTATGGATGCTAGAGAACGACTGTTTATACCATTTGGAAAAGTGAGGGGTATACAAGTAAACTTGGCCTCTCAGATCGTTTCTTCTCTCAGGTGGGTTAAATTTTCTGAAAGTCATAGATGGAACTTTTGACAAAGGTCAGCTGGGATCATATCAATCTGTGGTTAGTGGAAGGAAGGTCATCAATCTTGAGTTATACATTTATAATTATATATTGTTATTAGGCAGAGGCGCTATAGCGGTATGAGATGCACTATTGTACACGTATGTTCCAGGGATCGAATCCCGGTGGGTTTCCCGGGCGCAATATAAGTCCTTCCCTGATCCTTCAGATGTTATGATGTAGTAGTATTATTTAGAGAATCTTTTTGAAACAAAACAAAGATTCCTGAAGAACAAATTCGAAAATAAACAGAATTTATTGAGTTTTACATGGTCAGACGCTTGCTGCGCATCTAACAGTCAGTTTGGTAGTCTTCCTAATCAGACTCTCTGTCTGGTAGGGAAATGCCGTAATGCCAGACAGTAATTTGTGGCCATTGAAGTAGATAGACAGATTACAATGAAATATGACCGGATCATGGCGAAGACACATAACAATGAAGCAAAACGCCGTGTACTTTACTGGTCGGTAAACACTCAACTCAACGGCCGTTTACCCTTTTATCATATCGATTTGATTTTTTGTTGGGTCACTCCTAGTAGCCACATTTTTTGTTTTTATTCTCGCTTTCTAGGGCTATGACTTCGAAAACTGCAGTCAAATTATATTATGACATCATATCGCCTTATTCGTGGGTCGCATTCGAGGTGTGTGAACGAAATTCTTTCTTTCGTCTTTTTTCCTTAGTGGGTATGGTGCTTCTTGTTAGATATTAGGTTGATACTTCGATACTTTGATGGTCCATCGGCAAGGCATCCAATGTAGGCCGCTTTCTCTGAAATATTTGGACAACAAATCGGCCCATCGAGTCGGCGGACGTCCTGACGGTCTTGTTTTGTTTCTCGGAAGCCACTCTAAGACTCTGAGACTTTATCTGTCATGTGTTCGACGAAGTAGATGACCGGCCTAGCGGTGCTTCGAATGTGCCATGCATTAAAGAAGATTTTTCAACGCGATGTCTCCTTTAGGTCTGTTTCGCAAGCCTCCTGCCACTGTTGGCGTCGACTGATTCTCAGAGATTTCTTTCAGGCGCGTGATGAGAGGTTCTTATCTCTTTTGCGATTGTTTTGTTGTAAGGCCACGTTTCAGTCGCATGCCACATCGCTGGCAGTACTGAGGCGCGGAATACCGATGCCTTGGGGTTGGGATCGCTGACCTGGTCTGTCACTTCACGGATCGAAGCGAAAGCTGCCTATGCAGCACGTCTTCTCCGATTCAGTCCCGGAGCCATTCTGTTTTGTTAGATACTATAGGTAGTAGATCATCGACTTTCGTCTCGTTGATCATCGATTTCCTCGGATGGGAGTCAGTAAGATCTCCAGTCGTCCGTGTCACAAGCCACAGTAATCCAGTGGACCGCCCTCGCTAAAGGAACACGAGACATAGCTCTCCTTCCGTTCATGGTGTGTATTTGGTGTATTTGACAACTCCACAGATCCATTGAGTAATCTGGCTGCACATTGGGATGTTCCAATTCCCCGAATTCCAATACCTCTGTTGTGTCGATCGTTCCCTTAGCAAAAAGTAGTCCAGCCGAGAGGTCTCTGCTATAGTGCAAAAACATTTCGGGTGTAGCAGAAAAACCTTTTCTCCGACGGAACCAAAAATTTGCTGGAATTCGAAAGGTTGCAAGGAGGTCATATAGAATAGTAATATGGTTCTGGTTCTCTATTACCAAACAAATTATGCACCCTTTTGAAATGTCTCATTACTTTTCGACCTTCACTGTCATAACCGGACGTAATATTAGGTTGGCAAGAAAGTCCCGTGACAGAAATTTTGAAATGTGACACGCTTGCGAAATCATTGTGAACGCGATAGCCAGGGTGACAGTCTGTTAGAATGCACTAAGTACACCCAATACATGAGTATATGGGGAGACGCGCAAGAGCTTTCGGTATATCGAAAATGATCTCTCAGCACCAACTCCGCACCAATATTTTCTACGAGCGCGGTCAAGAGAAAAGCGCACGTGAAGTGGCTGATGGCATCAAACACATTAGATGGAAACACCGCTCACCGTCCTACGGTCATTCGTTAGCACAATCGCTTCGCTTCACGAGATATCAGCCTTGAAGATATGGTACGCAGTGGACTGCTTGAAGCATCAATGAAGACGAATTACTACATGTGTCACAGCAAACCCGAAGGCCACTACGCGTGAGTTGGCAACGATACTTGGATACCCATTCCACTGTCCAAACCTTTCTCCATGTCCACGGTTATCGAAAAGTTTTGTCAAGCTGGATCACTCACCGATCGTTGCTTTTCCATCGAATCGGAAGGGCACGCTCGCAGATCTGGTAACCGGCGACGAAAACTGGATATGGTATACTCACAGTAAATGCACTGCAGTTTGGCTCCCTCGAAGCGTCGAGCAACAAATCCAGCCAAAGGCAGCTTCAGCACCTGGCCGATACCATCCAAGAGAAAGCCAAGAAGATCAACCCGCTCGAGGAAAATCACTTGGCTTGCCCAAAGGATGGGAGGAGGTTGTTGATCTTTGTAGTGGATATATTATCAATATTTTATATGTTTAGAAGATGTTATAGTTCAATGAATAAAATCTTTTCTGTCGCAGGACTTTCTTGCAACCTAATAATAATGAGACAATGAGAATAGGCATGTAAAGCCTGGCAATGCTTGAACAATTAAACTAATTTCAGTCTCTACTTCGTTATCAGCACGTCTGGCCAATAGAAGTGAATCTCAAACCCTTTTCTCTTCAGGGAATCAGGATGCTTAGCGGTAAGCCATGGATTACTTAGTTTGAGGATTGATTACTTTAGTCCTCGTTTGATCCATTTCGTACTTTCAATAGTAGAATATAATTAAAAAATAATAGAGTTTCAATAAAAGAAGTAATTTATCCCATATAAATATGTGGACAATCTGTCAGCAGAACATAATCAGGCCGAATCAGACATGGGAAAACAGTTCCTCTCAATACAGTAGTCGCCGTAAGAATTCGAAAATTCAAGCGAACACAGCAAACTCGCGTCTTTTTCGTGTTTTCTGCTCAGGTTGGTTTAGAGTGGAGTATTCAAGAAGCTGAAGGGTTGTATTGTTCACTAAATAGGAGTATTCACTATTATATAGAGGAGTATACACTATTATATAGATATAGAGTAGAGGTATTCACTAAATTCAATTAGTCGAAAAGATCACACGGCAAAAAACGACTGGAGGTCTGAAGGTATCGGAGAGGCCGCGACGACGTGAGCACTCACGGGCGCGATCCNGCCACTGCGTCGCGCGGGGGCTTTTGCCTGCTCCCTTTCGGGCCTGAGCCGTGCACCCCTCCTTGACTGCCCAGGAACCACCATCCTCCGATAGTAGCACCCTGGCGACGCAACGCTTGGCTCGGACGCCCGGTCGCCGTACAGCACGACCGTCACGGGACTCCTCCCCTCACTCCATCCACACCAATCTACTGCCTAGACGCTGGCTCACAGGCGCCCGCCACGACGCCCAGTGGCTGCCCATGCACTTTCGTGCTGGATTTGCCCACTGTGGGGAAATTTAGAGACACGGACGCTAAAAATTGAAATGAAGTTCCATGAGTAATAAGAAAAAATGATGAAATATACTGATAAAATGTATTAATCATTCAGTAAAACTGACGATTTTAGCTTCATTGTTATCAGATTTCCTCATACGTATACAACTACTAGAACCAGTAAAACCTCTAATATATACACACAAACATGGAGAATTGCCAACACGTGTTTTGAGATTGAAAAGTTCAACAGAAAGATGACGGAAACGATGAACATTCCTGACACAAATGGGTATGAAGAGGAATTTAAATTACCATTATAGTCGGATGCATATATAAATTATTTCAAGAGTTCTATTAAGGATAACCCCAACAATATTAGAAATTTGTTAAAAAAAACTTACCAAAAATTCAATAATAAGCATTGTCCTTAGCGTAACCCATTTTTTACTTTTGTATTTTGTTTGACTATATTGAACAATGCATTTCACCCGTTTCTTTGTGCACTGACCCCAAATCACTGAAGAGCCTTGGGGAAGTTGAAAAGGGTGGTTCGTCGACTAAAGAAGCGTAACATACCATCTTCAACCATGCTTTCATTATTTATCACTTTACTACGTTTTTAAAATTTTAATTAATAATTAATTCAATTTTTTGATTTTATTTTTTAAGATTCAATTATTACGCTTTGCTTATTAGATAATTGATTTCAGGAAACAAGCCACCAGGTACTGTCAAGAATAAATTGATTTATATGTTGAACGATTTACAGAGAAGTAATGAATTCTGGAATATGAACATTTCGGCACCCAAGGCTTGTGTTGTTTGCCGATCTTTCTAATCTCATTCAACGACTTCAAGAAAATTTCAGGATTTCATGGAAATGATTGAAAATGAAAACTCCGATAATGCAATGAAACTGCTTCTCATTATCCAAAAAGAGCGACCAGGCATGTTTACTACAGAAAAATTTTTTCTAATAATTTTTATTAGTTTCTTACATAAATTTGTTATTAGAACTAATAGGATAGCAGAAAAAAAGCTTCTTTATCCCGACGTCGTGTCATAGACGGGGGTGGTGAAGTGGCAAGTGGCGCACTATCGCACTAATCCGACTCCTGGATGGATATCCGTCAGGTCAACCAAGCCTCCCATCCCCCTGGAATCGACTAACTGGTAACAGTCCATCTGGGAGGATACCAGCACTGGGTAGCCCACCGATTGACAACCGCATTTTTGATATGTCTGCTCCATTGTGAATGATGCAGCCTCTACAACTCCGTTAGAACTCGTCCACCTTTGGGTGTGGATGTTAGTAAAGCTGGTCTTTGAGACCTTATCATTGCCTGGGCTTCACCTGAGTCGTGCCTCCTGCCTCCAAATAGCATCCTTGAAGGATACAAGTTCGTCCACATGGAAATCCCAGAAGCCATTTTTATCATGAACTCCGCCTTTGAATTCATTGCCAAGCAAAACAAGTTTTCAAATATTTTATGGGTAGTTTTAGCTGGTAGCCTCGTAGTTTTATTCGAATTTTGTTCAAAAATTCGCGGTGTTTGTGAGGGATAATTACGAGTTGCTAGTTTAGAGAAGCTAGAAATTGCCAGCCGAGAGTTTTGGAAGCGAATTTGGTCTGATGGAGAACCGATTTCCAGGCGTTCAGATTTTGAAAAGGTGGTTCAATAGATCCCATTCATTGTCCACAGTCTTCAAGCCCCAAAGAGACATTTTGTAGGTACTGGCAGCTAGTAAAATCGAAAACGCTTCCGAGTACATTGACCGAATCGATAGCAGCTCTGCTATGACTCTTCTATTTCAGAATACTAAAGCTGCGCTAGATACTGGGGTAGGTTCTTTCCTTCCTGTATGGTTCTTCCCGAAACAGATGTACGATCTTTATTTTACAGGCGTTTGGTGCACCATGGATAGTTGTTTACAAAGATGGAGAGGAGCATGCATTCTTCGGATCCGATCGACTTCATCTAATCGCTCAACTCATTGGCGAGAAGTTCACCGATGGTCTCGTGCAATACTCAAAACAATGAAGATGTCGATCCTACATTTTCTTTCGTCACTTTATTACAATTATCAGTATTCATTCACATTTGCCATGCTTCACTTGGCGATAGCATCGTTTTACAGCAGGTAGGGACCTGGATATCTGCGGAATTAGGTCACTGTTATACTACAGACGTTTCGGTGGTGTTGGTATTGTATTATTCTAACCATAAGTTGGGTGGTTTTACTTCCCCAAAATTCTCACGACAACCGACAGATTGTCCGCGTCCGACTACCGTATCCTCCCACTGGGAATTTAAACCTTCCCCTCTATAGCGCGCGCACGGATGTGGCGGACGCGAAGCGATTTTCGGGGAGAAGTTACTACGCTCCTCTAGGTTTCCTTAGGACGTGAATAATTTACATGAAGGTGCACGTCAAACAACACTCACAGGGCTCTTGTGGATTCAGAACGAGTCGAAAATACCCACCAAAAATCAAACATCATTTGATAGTTTGCGACCTTCTCTCGCTCGAGATCTATTTCAGATAGTATCACTGCGTTACTTCAAAAAGAACTGCGTTTTTCAAAATGAGGTCTGTAGACGAAAAACTTCTTAGCCCTCGAAGTAACAGAATTTTAGTAACCAGTTTATCGTTTTGCTAAATTACTGATTTGTTCTCAGCTCATACGGAATATCAGGTACGCCAGAAACCTTCAAAAAGTCACTACGATTCTGAATGGAAGTCGAATGGGAGGACCCACCCCAGAAAAGGGATCAACGAAACGCTATACTTAAAGGCACAGCTCACGACAATTTCTTGTAATCCAGATTATGACGAAAATTAGAAGACAGGATAGGAATAGTGCGGTGAAGGGTGAGAAACTGCGTGAATCGGTATTTCTGAGAAACTGCGTGAATCGATATTTCTAAGGGTGAAATGTTTCTGAAAAGTCCTTAAAAAGGAGGCTGCACGAGAATGAGGCCAGGAAAATGAAGAAAAATGGGGTGTTTGGACGAGCTATACGACGAGGAGAGAGGAAGGGTGTGGTGCAGCAAGCATTTGGCTACATAAAATTCAATTTATCTTTGAGTTCTCTTTTCAGGGATTCTATTTCTATAAAAATTTGCTCAGAAAGAGCCTCTATTTTATTTTATAACAAAATTACATCTAGTGGATAAAGGATGGAGTCCTCTGACGTCAATCAACCCTATTTTCGGGATGCGCCAATGAACTCAAATTCCAGTAAAATCCAGAGGGGTTTGAATGCGCTCGTGACCGATACAATGGATTGCGGTGACCAGCCGATTTACAGTCAGTGCTTTTTCTTTCCCAGACGGTTCGCATACCAATTAATCGACCCCGATAGATAGATATGCTTGGCAGGCCTAGGCGAGTATCGATCAGATCAGACCACACGCGTCTTGTAGTGCGCCACTTGCCAATACACCTTACTTCGCTCTGGACTACATGATATGTGGTTTGTCACATTACTTGACGAACTTCTCCTCTTCATGGGTACCTACTGAAATATACGAAAATAAAAGTAGCAAATGTGTGACAGCGTTGACGATGTTTACTGGTCGGTAAACAGGCCATACTCTAGTTGACGGCCGATTACCTTATCATATTGATTCGATTCTTTGCTCGGTCACATCCCGTGACCGCAACTCCTTTTTTATTCTCCTTTTTTTGGCATGGCCACGAAATATAAAATCGATTTATACTACGATGTTATATCGCCCTACTCTTGGGTGGCATTCGAGGTGTGTTCTCTGTTATTTGTTACAATATCTTTATTTAATTTTCTGGGAAGCATATCAAACTAAAAGAGCGACAGCTGTTGAAGGCATAGTTCACGATAATTCTGAGGTATCGGTCAAGTGAAATAATTGAAGTTATGATGCGGAATAGTGCAAAAATGGCGAAGGAAGCCCGGATATCCGCAGATTTTATGAATTCTGAGGTTCAAAAAGGTAGAAGGGAAGGTGATCGTACGAGATTATGAGTCTGTAATCGTCTGAGTGTCTCCCACATAAGCGTGCTATTCCTCGATGTCTTGGGCTTCATTGCGCGAAGGGTACAACCTTAACAAGACCGTGATAACACAGCTATTTCCGGGTATGTACGTCGGCCGAGCCAGTTTTTGGAGCCCTTTTAACGCCCGGTTGAGGAAGTTTTTCGACCTTACAACGTCTCAAATGTTATCCTTGGGGGCTTTATCTTAGAGGGAAATATTTATTAGTTCATTTTTATCGTGAACTGTGCCTTTAATAACTTAGGTATAGAAAAAGAAACCAGAAAAAAGGGTATAAACCAATTGAAAGTAAGCATTCCATTAAGAATGGTGAACATTTCCAGTCTCTGCTTCGTTATCAACATGTATGGCCAATAGAAGTCAATCTTAAACCATGTTCTCTACGGGGAATAATGATCGGGAGCGGTGAGCGCTTGGTTTACTTGTTCGGAGAAACACTCATTACTGGCTTACTTTATTTCAGGGAATAAACCCCCAGGTGTTGTCATGAACAAAGCAATTTATATGATGAACGATTTGAGGAGGAACAATGACTTCTGGAACATGAACATGTCGCCACCCAAGGCCTGCGATTTCCCAATTTTCCTAGTCTCGTTCAATGATTTCAAAAGAAAAACTTCAGGATTTCATGAAACTGATAAAAACCGAAACTTCTGATAACGCGATGAAACTGCTTCTTATCATCCAGAAAGAGCGACCAGGTGTGTTTCTTGCAAGTGTTTTTCCAGTGAACTAGTAAATTCACGACTTGTACTTATTTGATTTTCTTGCTAAGGTTAAATCACAGTTCGTATTAGAAATGTTTCTCCAGATTTCCCACTTGGATGACTTTGTAGCCCCCAAGGATACGTGAGATAAGTCGGGTCGATAGCGATATCGACAGGGCATTAAATGCTCCAAAATCGACTTTGGCCGACGTACACACCTAAAAGTGGACGTGTTACAGCGGTCTTTTTGAGTTCGCACCATTCACATTGGAGCGCTAGTACGCCGAGGAATAGGGCCCTTATATAGGAGAGACCCAGACGATCATAGATGCATAATCTCGCACAACCCCTTTCTTACTACTTTTTCTAAGCCTTTTATTTCTTGAAATCTTCCGAATTTTGCGCTTTCTTCACCATTTTTCACTATTTTGCACCATAACTTCCAATATTTACTTTGGCTAGATTCCTTGAGATTATCGCCATCTGTGTCTTCANTAAATGCTCCAAAATCGACTTTGGCCGACGTACACACCTAAAAGTGGACGTGTTACAGCGGTCTTTTTGAGTTCGCACCATTCACATTGGAGCGCTAGTACGCCGAGGAATAGGGCCCTTATATAGGAGAGACCCAGTCGATTATAGACGCAAAATCTCGCCCAACCCCTTCCTTACTACCTTTTCTAAACCTTTTATTTCATAAAATCCTCCGAATTTTGCGCTTTCTTAACCATTTTTCCATTATTTTCACCATAACCTCCAATATTTTACTTGGGCTAGGTTACTCAAAATTATCGCGAACTGTGACTTTAGGGCGAAAAACAGGGACGAGAAAAAGGTTTTTTAGTCCGCATAGCTGCAAGTTGCTCCTTTAGAGAAGCTAGAAATTGCCAGTCGAGAATTTTGGAAGCGAATTTGGTCAAATGGAGAAATGATTTTCAGACGGCCGGATTTCGAAAAGGTGGTTTTAATAGATTCTACTGATCATTCGAATCATAAAGAGAGATTTCGTAGGTACTGGCAGCCAGTGGAATCACAAACGCTTCCCATTATATCGACCAAATCGATAGCAACCTTGCCACGACTCTCCTGGAGCAGAATACCAAGGCTGCGTTGGATTCCGGGGTATGTTCTACCTACATGGAGTGTTTTAGAGTGGCTGAGTAGCTGTACCATCCTTGCTTCACAGGCATTCGGTGCGCCATGGATAGTTGTTCACAAAGATGGAGAGGAGCACCCATTCTTCGGATCTGATCGACTTCATCTAATAGCTCATCTCATTGGGCAAAAATTTACCGATGGTCTTGTACAATACTCAAAACTATGATAATGGAGAACCACATTTGTTCTCGTCGTTTGATTATAAAATGATTTTCCGCCCCTATTCCAGTAAGGATTCATCGAGCAACAAGCAGGATACAACATTTGCAAAAGTTTGGTCACTAAGGCAGATATCTCGCGGGTGAAACTCCACTGACCTCTTTCATAATAGAGCGTTTTCAGCGTGGAGCGTTGAGCGTTGAGTGTTGCCGGCCCTATGTTGACAACACAGGTTGGCGATCAATGCCGCATGGAACGGCGGTGAATAATTTATTGATCGACTTTTTTGGTTATGTTGTTTCGTTTTTTTTTATATGTGAAATTGATGTTTTCTTCCTTGAGTACTACAGTATAATGTCACAAGCGTATTTCGTTCTGAAAGATTTATGCGCAGCTCTGCCTGGAAAATAACATGCTCCAACACAAACACCGCAAGCAGCGACGCTCAACGCTCTATGCTCGACGCTGAAGAGACTCCAGCGTTCCGCGCTAACCGCTTATCATTATCGTCAGCAGGATCAAAAAATTCTGAACTTATTTTATGCGCAATCAAATGTCCATTACATTTGTTCATGAATGTCTGCTATGCGGTCTATTTGATTCGGTAGGATGGCATTACTCTCATTTGACATGAGAGACTTGGAAGTAAAAGCCCTTCATAAGTTGGGACCAACTGTGTTCAATGAATCTACCAAATCTTTACATCATCTTATTATACTTTGCTTGTGTGTGTCTACCGTCTGGAATATTAGAACGTGAATAATGGGAAGGGAAGTATACCTTCGACAGATTGAATCATTATCAACTGGCACCGTTAGATCTTTGATCGCGTTGACATAACTTATCTCATATCAACTTATTTCATAGCAAAACGTTAAAACCTTGGAGGGATGGGAGCGGTTAGATGGGAGCTTTTTCCCGCTAATTCTGAGCTATATCGACTGAAATAAACAAGTTTTCCATAGAGCTTGTGGACACCTAATGGAAAGGCCAAGCGGCAAAAAATCAACTTTCACAGAAACAATTTAGATCAAAATAAACAATTTTTGGGTTACGCTGATCACCACGACAAAAATCAATATCAATCAATTTATTGATAACCGGTCAAACAAGCACTTGATAGGAGATCACAGAGTTGAAACTACCTTAATGACTACTTCTAAATACAGAGGTTTTGAAAGGTAACTAGTTATACACAACGTACGACGTATAGTACATACAAAATGGTAATTGGCGGATATTCTTTACATTTAGGCACTGCAAGCCGATAACGAGTAACTATGAGAACAGAGATGAGTTGAAGCAATTTTGATTACCCGTTGAATGTTCATTAAAGCTGCATGATTTCCAAAGAAGCTGTTTCATTGAAAGACTCCAAGAGTGGGCGAGAACGTGTCGCGAACGGACGGTGACCGTTCCAGTTGAGATGTATTGGAAGCGTTCGAGGATCGTCGATCTAAGGCTTGTTGTCGACATAAATTTGTCAGAAGACTCAGCGCTGTGTTCATCTGGCGCTCGAGACCGGTTATCTGCAAAGAGGAGACTGATTCGGTTTGCCAATGTGGTCCGCTTAATGAGCTCTATCGCCTCGTACAGTACCTGGACCTCGATTCGTGAGAGCCGTGCTCCAATTGTAGTCGCACCGCCCCAGGGTGTCTTTGACGCGCGATCTTGCCCAGGTTTTCCGAGCGTTTGATCCAGCCTGAAAGTCACAAGTGCAGGACCCTAGTCCCTCTATCATCAAATGCAGACTCACCGCCTTTGAAGTTCCTTAATTCGGACCATCATATTAAGATGGCCTTGTGAGTACTGCTCAATGACGTCTCGCACATCGTAGGGTTTTCGTGCTTGCTGAAATTACAACAGTAAAATAGAGCTTTGAAATGTTGCGATCGGCATCTCATGGCCACCCTTAATTCGCGAGAAGCCTAGATGGTCTAATCTTGCTAGTAGAAAATACGAAACGACCGGAACCCTCTTCCTCATGTCATAATTAACATCGCTACGATTGCGAATGGAAATCAAATACGTGGCGTGGCCAAAACGTAGCGATGCTACTTCTTTCTACTTCATTTAGCACCAAGAGAAGCTTAGGTTATCAGGAATAGAGAGAACTACTTGGAGTGGAGGGTTTTGTAGCGAATTCCCATGACATGCGGACATGGTTTCGAAGAAATCCCTCTGGAGGAGTCGTAGGTGTCAAAACTTAGGGCCTTACCAAGCGCAGCTTCTACTAAGAAGACGTGACAGTTCGTCCACTAGCCTACTTCTTGTTAGTAGCTTTCTCGGCTAATCTTCCTCATCAGAACACTTCATTTGTCATCCCCTCTCTTCAGAGAAACTTTGGGATAAACCAGGAAACTTTCACAATTTAGCACTTCTACATCGCACTTCCGTTCAAAGATGAAACAGACGCAACCAACCTGAAATCGTCTTCTGGCGACAAAATACTTGATTTTCCGAATAGCTCGTATTGCATCCTTGTATTGCTTTGTCAGGTCACAAATACTGCAAGAATTTTGTGGTAAATTTCGATTTTGTAGAAATAGAAAAGCATTTTACAATTTGAGAATTAAGAAGGCCCAAAGAGTACAGTTCACGACATTACTGGTTTTCTAGCTTGAGAATAATGGAACTAAGGTGCGGAACAGCACAAAAAAGATAAAGTTAGCTTCAAAAAATAGTAAGAAAAGGGGTCTTACGAGATTATGTGTCTGTAACTGTCTGGGTGTCTCCCACATAGTGCACTGTTCGTGGGCGCCCTAACGCCTCACCGTAAATGGTAAAGCTTCGACAAGCCATTATAACACGGATTTTTATGGGCGTATACACCAGCTACGCCGAATTCGGAGCCCTTGTCACGCCCTGTCCATATCATTTCATGATCGGACAGTGTTCCAAGTGCAATTTTTGGAGGGCCCCAGAATCATTCTATTGAGTAATCTCAGAAACCAATTTTTATAGTGAACTGTGCCTTTAGGTCAGATAGAAGGGAAGAATACTATGCACTTACTGAGCTATTCTTATTGGTGATGATTGTTCGTCGTTTTCTTCCTGCTCCGATACATCCAAACGTGTTTCCGAAGCCGCTGAACGAAAGAATTAGCTTGACAAATGTAATTCACTTATTCTTAGAGTAGTTCTAAAAAGTACTGAACTGTCTTGGTGAGAACTGCTTTGGAAAAGAAAAGACTCACTCGCAAATACCCGATCATCTTCAACATCGCTGTTTCTCTCTTTGTCTTTTTTTCTTTCACCCATTTCCAAATCCACACTGACAGCGCTAGGACGGCTCTTCTTCGTATTACCCATCAAACCCGTCCTAAAATCGAGAGGATTACGGTTGGACGAAGGGCTGTAGAGACTCCTCCAACTCTGACAGCGAGATATGCACGTTGCTCCGGAATCTTCCTCTTCCCCTCCCACACCGTCCCTTCTCCCCTACAACTTTCTTGAGCAAAGCTATCACCCACAAGAAATGAAGAGAATTTGAAAATTGTTGGAAACACTTTGAATTAGACAAAAAAANAAAAAAATAGCCATTTTAAGGAGCTTTCTCTGAACCGCTATACGCCAAGTGCGGAAATCAAAGCTTTGAAAGCATTCCATTAAAATCGACCACAACATGCACCCCAAAAGGAAGATTTCGCCATTCGGCCATGTTTATTTTGAGAAATGATGAAGACGCACTTGGAGTGCTGCTTTCTGAATAGCTTCCTTTTATAACTGACGGCGTCTTCGGAGGTTGTGCCGTTTTGTTTCCGATGGTGCAGCTCACTTGTTTGGCCGGCTAATGGATCAACATGGACTCGCCTGTAACAGTTCTTCAAATGACAAGAGAGCTCTGAAAAGATCAAAATAAAATAAAAATTAGTCAGTGGTAAATAAACAAGTAAATAAGATGGTCAACAAATAAATTTAAAATAATGTCATAGAGGGACCATGTGGCGGCGATGTTCTTTTCGGCTGCATGGCATCTCCATAGGCACTGAATTAGAGTGGCAGCAGCTGGAATCTGGCGATTGAAGTGCTTCTGGCGCTGCTTTTGTTGAACTTTCAGGGCGAATCCCGAACCGAGGATACCCTGAATTGTTGCGGGTTGGGAACTTCAGAAGGATTAAATGAATAATGACCATACCGCTGGTAGAGCGAAGAAACTAATGGCGAAGATCGAAAAGCACGATGCAACGATTCGTCCAAGCCACGTTTGTGGAACCACATCACCGTAGCCTATAGTCGTCATGGTGATCTGTAAAAATCATACCTTGGCCATTCACAAGACGGATTTAATCGTCCCGTGAATGTGTGACACAGTAACCCAAACACACGCCAAGCGCCTCGAAAACACCCGCCACATATACGACGCAAAGGAAAGGTACTCCGGGTGAAGTCCACGGGAGTGTTCGGTGGGGTGTTAGTGGGTTACGGTGTCAAACATTCGCGGGACGTTAAAATCTTTCTTGTGGTTATTCCCCATCTGTCTGTAAAAAGGTAATGTCGAACATATTTCGAACTGCAAGCAGCGGGACTAGCGATAGTAATGACTCAGTCCCAGGCTTAGATCGATAATCAGGCTCAGGTTGAAGTGTGTTAGCAGATTGCAAATTGGCCTAGATCAATGCATTCTCCTATCTGAGATGGGTGTGTGTGTGTTAGGTGTCTAGTGTGAGACTCCCAGTGGAGTGCAGGTACATACTTATGTTTCAAGTTAACCCATACGCCTCAAAGTGGGCGAGCCCGGAACGCTGTTGGGGTTATAAGTAAGGGCGTAGATTGGAGCGTGCAAAGTATGGACTAATTCGAATATTTGCTGCGCAATATCACTATGTGATTACGGTTACTGCATGCGAAAGCGCTTACGTGGGAAGTAGGGCATAAGTTCCGCGGCCCTTCCCAGAGTGAATGACTCTGGGAAGGGCCGCGGAACTTATGCCCTTCAAACACGAACTAATGACTTACCACTCCCCACCACAAAGCATCTGCATAGCTGGTGAAAGATTGTCTTCCGTCTGGAGCGATATGATCCTTCTCGGCCAAATACACAAAATATGACGAAAATATAAGTCCAAGAAATCCGATGTACAAGGTGGTGATGAGTTCTTGGCGATGGATAAACACCACAGAACCCAACAATCTCCTGTAATATTGAATGGCTTTCAGGAAGAAGTGAATGTAATGAGCTGGAATTTTCATCATTAAGCTCCCGCTAGTAATCAGTCTATTCGGACTTCCTTTTGAGTTCAACTTCCATTCGAGACTGCAGCCAGTGTCAGGCATGAAGGGGCGGGATATGGGGAAAAAGGAGTAGTCATTGGGTCCCCTTCGCCTTATTACGACTCCCTCCCTCCTTTTAAATGGTTCTCGGCTGATACCTTGGCAGTAAGGAAAGATGTTCTTAGAGTTGACTAACAACGATGACTCACGTAAAATAGAGCAAAATCCCCAGTCCACGCTTCACCTTTCTTTTGCCCGGATACCCTACAGCTCCCTCATGAACGAACGAGTAGGAAAAAATTTATGAAGATAAGCAAAGATCGTGGTATGAGGAAAACATTGTCGAACTTAAAAAAACGATTCTCCTTTACTCATGCCCGGCTTTCTATACAGTAACAATAACATGTTTTAAAAACCCAAAACTTTATCTAACGAATAAATAAAAGCAATAGTAATAAAGGAGAACGACTGATTCCTGTTTGGGATAAGCCATGCATCCAGTCAAAGACAGAGTTGTCGTGAATTTGAAAGCGTTCAAATCTGTACAGTACATGCCAGTATACTCCTGACTATCAACATACCTACGAGTGCTTGTGGTTCCATTCCTACAACAGTGATCCCAGATATACACCGCGTATCTGGGTAACCGCTGTAATGCAGATAGCGCACTCTGTCAATGTGAAGGAGCTGCAGGAGCGGTCCACACGGCAGACACGCAGTCCATGGAATTTTTGATACAGCAATCACAAAGAATTAGAAGAGAACTGGCCGATTAGGAAAAACCCCGTCGAGAACGCAACGCGTTGAACAAAAATGTCATAGGGAAAGACGATCACGTAGGTAGGATAAACCCAGGACTGATTTGCGTATGACACACGGCCAACCGCTCATTTGACAAAGGAGCTGCGGTTGCAGATCACTGTATCGTAAATTCCGAGGACTTTAGAACATAACTACTGTTTTTACGTGGTGTCACCTTTCTGTGCAGTCTTGCATTTTCTAGCCTATAGGAACCCGCTTCTTCCAGGTGATTACGGTCCCACCCGTTCTCCCTGACGCAGCCCTCGGCACAAGCCTGTCGCTGATCACAGTGACATTTGAATGCGTACATACCATCTGAACTGATCCCACACAACGGTCCGCTGGCGTCAGCCGATTCGAACGCCGCTTCTTCTGTGCCGGACAAAACAAATGTGTCATTTCTTTTCTCCGAGAATGGAGGGTTACGTCACAGCGATTTTATCAAAGATTGATCAAGTGACCATGGATGTAACGTCACATGCCATCGCACCTCTGCTCAAATTTTGTGAAAAAATACAAAACAGATTTCGAAATTTGAGGGAATCAGTGATACAGTAAGTCCTGTATGTCCATAGAAAGGTGGCTATTCACTCTACTGTACCTAGGGA